GACATTATATACACACACTGTGTGTGTATATAATGCAGAGTGTGTGTGTTTGTGTAGTGTGTGTGAACTGGGTGGGTGGAGGGCATTTTTATTATTTTTAATTTGTTTTTTTATTTGAATATTTTTTTTAAAAAAATATTTAAAAAAATATATATTTTATTATTTAATATTTATTTTTAGTACCTCCTCCCTTCTTGTTACCTGACCATGGAGGGGGGCTGTAACATTCCCTGGTGGTCCAGTGGATGGGCTGTGTGTGGGGAGGAGGGGCAGCACAAGCTCTTACTTACCTTTGTAGCAGCTCCGTGCAGCTCCCCTGTTCTGCTCCCAGTGTAAGTTTTGCGACACTCGCGGCCGCCAGAGTGTTGCCACGGGTTAGTCACAAACACTGGCCAAAGTTAGTGTTCATAATTGTTTTTTGCATTTTTAACACACAAACAAATATAAATGCTAACTTTGGCCAGTATTTGTGACAAAGTGGCTACTAAAAAAGACTGAAATTACCCCTTTTGCAATACCTAGGGTTGTCTACCTTAAAAAAAAAAAAATATGTACATGTGAGATGTGATTCAGAGATTTATGACTGATAACAGTGTTACAATGTAACTATTGATACATTTAAAAAATATATATTTGGAAACAGCAATGTCCTACACGTACTTATAACCCTATAACTTGCAAAAAGTAATAAAGCTAAGAACATGTTACCATTGGGTATTTCTAAACTCAGGACAAAAATAAAACTATTTAGCACAGGTTTTTTTGGGCGGTTGTAGATGCGTAACAGGTTTTGGAGGTCAAAGTTAGAAAAGTATTTTTTTAATTTTTCATCATATTTTAGAATTGTTTTATAGCAAATTATATGATATGATGAAAATAATGGTATCTTTAGAAAGACCAATTAAATGCATAAGAGGAAAATTATGCTAAACACAAACACTGCAGAAATGTAAAAATAACCCTGGTCACTAAGGGATTAACATCTGAAAAAAAAAAAAAAAGTATTTAATGCAAGCTGTGCCATTCACAGTCAGGGGAGGTGTGACTAGGTCTGCATAAACAGAAACAGAAATTTCACTCCTAAATGGCAGAGATTTGAGCAGTGAGACTTCAGCATCATGATCTATAAAAACTGCCTCATTAAGCTATTTGTGTTGGCAACTACTGTCCCGTTAAAATAGATGTCTATTTAAGAGACATTTTTCTACCCATTTAAAGGTGTTCATTTGAAAGGAAATGGATGGCGGCGCCCTCTTTTTATAAATTATAAACTTTGAAATTATTGTTAAATTTACCCGTAATCTAGCAGGAGGACAGACTACTCCTTGCAGCCCATTTAAGACAATGTCATCAAGATTGGTGTAATCAATCTAATGCTCCTCTATAAGAAGCATGCTACACAAAATTTAAAATATATGCAATTATTTTATTCCAAAGCCCCTAGCTTCAATCTGAATTACAGTCACAATGCATGTGTACTGCAAAATGCAAACAGTTCCATTTTTCAGAATGGTATTGTATTCATTTGCTGGAGGGGGAGCATCTGTTACAAAATAATTTCATTCACATTAAGTGACATTGGTGATTAGGTGTCCCTTTTAAAAACTGAGTGATGCTTCTAAGCAAAGTATTACAGCTACCTTACCTGTGGCATAGCAGGCACAAAATAGCTTGGAGGTTGTTGGAAGGATCCAACTAGAGGCCCTGGAATTGCTCTCATTGTAGCTAACCTCTGCATATACTGATTGGTAAGAATTGCCTTTCTTTCCTCCTTTCGTTGAGCGAGTGCTACATACAGAGGCTTTGTACTGACAATTCTTCCGTTCATTTCTGTGACTGCTTTAGTCGCCTCTTCTGGAGATGAAAAACACACAAAACCAAATCCCTTGCTGTGACCTCCCTCTGTCATTACCTAACGAATGGAGCAAAAAAAAAAAAAAAAGTTACTGTAAAAACATGGGGGCACTCCCAAATGTATTGCATTATAATATATTATGATTATCCTTTCAGATGCATGGCCCTACAGAATGTGCTATATCATAGGCATAGCCTATATTCTTCCAGTTTTACCACATTTCTCGCTTGCTTACATTGCTTAGCAAGACATAGCTTTTTTTCTGTAAAATACATGGTTTCACATGGCTCTGATGATTCTACATACTTTACAGGGTAGGCGATATTTAAGGTCTTAATAACAAATACATCATACGCACAGAATACATATCCATGATCAATGTATTTGGACATTTTAGCTTCATGATTTTATTTCATTGAAGAAGAAAAAAAAAAAAACACGTGACTGTCAATGACTATAAAAATTATAGCATCCAAGGCTGGTATCTAACTTGCTTGCCAAATGCCCTAATTTTGCCTTGAAATACATAGCTCATAATATTTTGCTGAAATTTGTGGATACATCAATTTGAGTATGAAATCAAGTCAGGAGGCTGTAACCTAAGATATTTATACTTTGTTTTAAACGATCACTTGACCATGTGACCTATTAACCCCTTAAGGACACAACTTCTGTAATAAAAGGGAATCATGACAGAATATTTCCGTCATGTGTGTCCTTAAGGGGTTAATATATTTGAAATGGGAAAGGGGAAAAATAAACTGGATATAGACCTAAATGTAATTGCGTAGACAGATGATATATATAAATTTATACTTACCTCAATTTGAGGTCAGATCTTTGTTTGGTGGATGAACAATCTCTCTGCCAGATCTCCAGCCACTACCTCTACATTAGGCAAAATCACTGCAAAGACCGGATTGTCATGTCTGCTTCAGTGCTATACTTTAGACTACAATGTATGGGGTACAGTGGCTGCATACAGCAACTGTACTTAAATATGGACATTGTGCCCACAAGTGGCATACATAAGTTTTACATTTGTGGTGCTATAAAGTGAAACATTTAAATCATTTAAAGACATTTTTACGGTACGAGTACATTTCAGATTTCAAATCTAAGCTACACTTTAATACTGGGCATGGAAGGAGCTCATTCTGTCAAAGCATCATGGACAGTTTTGAACATTCGATAAAGGACATGGCATTATCTTCCTACTTTGGCATACATTTCAATCACAACAGTTTAATTCATGATGGCCCCTATTTCTTTGGTCTTTGGTACTTGTGATATACAGCATCCCAGAGCTCAATGCAAAGTACCTTGGGTAGTACACGTCCATTGCAGATTACCCAGACTAGTATTACAGATTCAAACTGATATGTGTAGATAAGGTATATGAAGTCTGTGATTCGACAGCACAAGTGCAGAGTTTATGTTAGGCGCTTTGTGATTTTGCCCAATACTGGATGTCACGTTTAAAGGGACACTATAGTCACCTGAACAATTTCAGCTTAATGGGGTTGTTCAAGTGAGTACAATAGATCCCCAAAAGCTTTTTCATGTAAGCACTGTATTTTCAGAGAAAATACAGCGTTTACCTTAGAACCTAGGAACACCTCCAGTGGCAGTCACAGACGGCCACCAGAGGGGCTTCAGAGTCAAGTCCTGCCTGATGCGCAGTACTCACGTTTGACGTCTTCACATTTAGCTACAGACACCAAACATAGTATCAGGACACTGCAGGCACTGAACACGTCTGTAGTGTCCTGTAGTAACCCCTGAGGCTGTCAACGCTGTCAGCCCTGGCTCACCGAGCAGGAGGGTCCAGAGATCTACTCACTTCAAACAGTAAGTAAACTGTTTAAAAGCAAGATGGTGAGTCCGATAGGTAGAGTCCGATAGGTAGAGATTAATAGAGATACATAGATAGAGATAATAACAGACACAGACCGAAACATACAGACAGAGATCGATACATAGATTGATGGATAAACAGATACAGGTATAGAAAGAGATAGAGAGAAATAGATATGGAAAGATAAGATATTTACATATATAGTGTGTGTATACAAAATATATATATTGTTTCTATTCAAAACAAACTTTGGGCATAGGAGGGGACAGGCATAAACAGCGAACTGAGCGGTCAGTCAGCTCACGAACGACCATACGGCGCACATGCGTATTCAATACCGCACTAGGAAGAACGTGACTGGTGCACATGCGCACCAGAGAGCTATGACTTCTCCAAGAGAAGTGTCTGATTGAGCCCTACTACGTCGTCATTTTGTCGAGGATATCGGTGCTGGAATGGAGTTAAGTTTTTATTATAAAAAATAATATTTTTTAAAGAGGAAACTAATATAAAACCATGGAAGGAGGCTAGGGGACCAGTCTTTCTTGCTTTTATATTTTGACTATAGTGCTCCTTTAATATCTTTTTACATGTTTTAAGGGGTTGGGGGCTTATTAGGAATGCCCCATAGGGCATTGTAAATTAAATATATTTTTTTAAAAGGTTGGAAAAAAGGTACAGAATACAGGTAAAACGAAAGGAACGGATAGACATACACTATTTGCCTCATTGCGGTCAACATTGCT